GTGTCATTTAGACCAGTGACTGCTACAAGCAGAAGGGAATAAGTATTATATTAATGACTGTGTTTGACAGCCTGGCTTCATAATCTGTTTTTCACTGACTTTTCCTTTTTATGCTAATAGTTATGCTCTCGTCTGGAAAAATTAGACTAATACAACTTTCCAAAAGCTATTAACAAGACTTTTAATATTAAGATGGCTATATATCCTAATGTGCCATGCCAAAACTAAGCTTTTGTTGTGGTCATGAAATGGGGCATGGTTAAGGGTGTATTCTGGAGTTGCAGATCATGGAGGAAAGCCTACAGGCTTCAGAGGGCATAGAACTTCACTCAGGATGTGGCATTCTTGTCACCAAGCATCAACTAGGTGAACTTTCTGAAGTTGGTGGAAATAAAGTAAAACACTGCCTGATCTCAATTTTTCAATATTTGGATGATTGTTGATTCTTGGAGGACCTGCCAACATGTGGGGACATGAATATCCATATGCTTTTTCTGACTTCATCACATCCAGGAAATAAAATTAATGATCTTGTAGATAAAATGAAAAATATTTTCCTGCCTGTTCAAGCCCATCTTTGTTTAAAAGTCATGTTCTGTTTATGACTCGCAGTAGCTTAGACCAGTATTATTTGATAGTCAGAAACTATGGTTATAGCAACTACAAAACCTGAATCTTTCTTCTTGCATGGCATAGCCAACACGTTCTTCCAGCTGAACTCCCATGTGTAAGTCTTAACAAAAGTTAATCACAATCATTAAAAAAACCTTTAGACCAAAACCTTTAGACAGTGTTTTAGAGTTCTATGTACAAAAGCTTTTGCGACTTCCTCAGACCTGTATAAAGTCCTCTGCAATCCACAGATTTTACAAGTTCACGTACTGACTTTCTATCAAGATACGTACATGACTACACAATTTTCAGAGGGAAACTTGCCAATGTTTTTTTGGACTAAGCTGAAGAATGAAGTTAAAGCATCTTTTCTCATTGAAGATTTTTTAATATTCTCTAGAATCCAAAAACCCAATTTGTACATAGTCCCTAGAACAGCAAAACTTTTATCTTTAAATTCTGTGTAAATGTCTTTCAAAAATATCCTTTGAAATTAGCTATATTCCTTGGGTTTCACTATGATAAGTCATAATAATGATATGATAAGCTATATTCCTTTGTTTCATCTTACCTCTGTTGCTGCTATGTTTCATTTGAATCTAAGTAAAATACAAGTTTGTATTAAGAGATTTATGTGGAAGCAAAAGCATTTACATGTGCACCAACATCCAGGCAGGCCAAGATAGCAGTGTATCATGTTTTGTTTTTACGAAGACACTGTACCATACATGGTAGATGAACATTTAGTTGTGTGGTAAAGTTGGATCCTAAACTTCTGAAACTTTAGCAGAGATGTTTTGATGAACTGAAACAAAGGGCCTGACTTGCTGCAGCTCTGCCTTACCACTAAAATCCAGTGAAAATTGAGAAAATTGAGTCATGCATCCTTCTTCCTCCTTTTCATCCCAAACACTAATTAAAACCATAATTTCCTTTACCAGTTCAATAAATTGAACTCTTTTATACATATGAACATTCATAAATAAATCAGTAGGTACTAACTCCCAATTTGTGACCAAAAGTCCAAAGTACCTTAAAAATAATGTTTCTAATATATTATGAAAGAAAGAAATGGACTGTGTGTTCATATCTGACTCTGCATTTCCGTGTGGAAAAAGAAACCCAAACCACAAAAGCACCTGTTGGCCAAAATGGAGAATATAATCCATTAAGTAACATGGATCATTGGAGAATACATTACTGGGTGGCATAGTACTCTATTGGCCATGCTTAAATGCAGCCTCCCTGTTGGCATTTCAGTTTTCACTCCTGCTTAAGCTTTGAACTCAGCAAGTAATTGTCACTTTAGCACCCCTTAGTGATGTTTAATCAAACATGGAAAAGAAACCCAAACAAACAAACCCCCTCTATTCAGTCTTCATTCAGTACTCAGATATGAAAGGATGTTTATTTTTACACTCATTACCTCATTGTAATTTTTTGCATACTGTTACAGTTGGAATGAATAGATCTTTATACACTGCATTTTGGTTTTCCATATCAAATGCTTTAAATTGTCATGCTAATTTGCATAGACAAGTCTGCTTTTTATCTATATTTTGTCATACATATCCTTGTTTTTATCATTACTTTCTTCTAATTTACATAATCATAAGGTTTTGAATGAATGTCAATAATAATTTGTTTTAATAAAATTTACTGTAAGTAGTTATTATGCATTTAAGAGCTGCTGTGTATGTACACAAGAAATGTGTTTTGTCAGTGGATGTTGCTTCTCATCTGTTGTATCTCTAGTACTTCTTTTGTCCATATACAGGGGTTTTTTTTTTATACATTCTAAAATATTGTTAATCTAAAGTATAATTAGTCAAAGGGATTAAAAAGTAATTTTTAATTACTTTTAATTACTTTAATTACTTTTATTTTAGAGAGATTGACAAGATCTTTTTAAAATGCTTTTTATATTCACTTACTAAAGCTTTGAATAAATGCAAAACAATAGTGCAGGTTTTTTTTTTAAGAAAGGGCTAGCATTTCCCATCAGCATTTGAGATAGAGAAAAGGTTGGTAATTTAAAATTCTTTCAAAGTTGTTAAAGTGGAATGTTATTTTAAAATAGACAGAGGAGAAATGCAGAAGAAAGCTCAGGACAAGCTGTACTGATTTCCTGAACCACAGAAAAATGTAATTTAAGCTTTGCATTTAGGCAGCTCTTCAAAAATCTTGGTTCAATTTGATTTCTCATAGTCATTGTGAACTCTTAGGTTTTGCCTGGAAAAAAAGTAAAATTTCATACTTAGGTTTTAAGGCTTGGATTCTGTTAAGTTTCATCAGCAGTGGTTGTCACAAATCTTTGGACATCCATCTTTCTCTTCCTGATCAAATTTCCTCGTGAGAAATACATAAATTGGGGTGAGGAGGACAATAGCTAAGAAGGAAGGTAATATGTCAACTAGCTAGGACTTTTTGAAGTTTAATGATGATTTTTCATGTTAGGGTCCTTGGGCTTTCTGGAAGCAGTCATTTTCTAGGAGCTTAGAAACATATAGTTTCTAAGACAATTCATATTAAAGAAACCAGGATGGGCTATAGTGTATGGTATTTATAAAAAGAGAATCTCAAAATATCCTTTGCCTCCAATGGAAAAGTTTGAAAAATGCTGATCTGAAATTATACTTTAACAGGTGTTTCAGTGTGGTTTGTGTAAAATTGCTGTGTAGATATTCTGTAGGAATGTTTCCCATGTATACAGAAGGCAGAAATGTACTTGAAATTCTGGCATAGCCCTTGTTTTTTAAAAATACAGTGCAAATTCATGAAAAAGTCACAGAAGATCTTCAGTAACAAACTAAAATAAGCATCTTGATTAGGCATATCTATATATCCATTATGAGGACATGCTGAAATTGTTTCGTAGTAGTGAAGCAGTGTCTTATCAAGAAATCCTGTCAGTCTCGTATAAATTATCTTTTTCAATGTTGTCCTTCTTCCCCTCCATTCTTCTGTTTCACTTCACATGACTGGACTTTGTACCCACATACTGATATGTGTACAGCCATTTTGTTTGCATAGGAGAGGCAAAAACTGAAACAATTCTGTGCTGCAAGGTAAAACACCCTTTCTGCCCCAAAGTCTGTCCCTTATATGTAGTTTATATTGTAAATATTGGGGTAATGTGTAGTTAGAGTTCATATTCTTTCACAGCTCAAAGAAATTCTTCATGACAGGAAGTTAGCAATTATGAGAAATAATAACATTCAATGTTGTCTTTTCTGCATTAGCTTAATACAATGTATTTTTTACAATGAAGAAGAGATTGCTGAAACCATACACTCATATCTATAAGATAATATCAAATATAGTGGCAAATTATTTTGTAACAGAATGCACTTTGTTATCAGGTATTGCAATGGAGTAGAATATTCCCTGCTTTGAACAGATTATAAAGAGTACAAGCATTACTTTAATTGTGAAAGCATTTTGAAGAAAATAGAAAGCAGGGTCTATATGAGCTAGAAGATTTTCCAGCTGTGCCACAGCAGTTTTTTCTCAGCACTTCAGTTCTGGTTGTTTAAAAAGTAATGTTGAAAGTGTATGTAATTTTGATTATGGAGTCTGTTTCAAGGATGAAATGGAAATGAATTGTTAAATAGTTTTGGAGGGGGGTAGGTTCTGAAATAAGCTTGTAGTTTTGAAGTGACTGGTTCATGGTGCAGTGTATGTAATCTGAAAAAGTCCATTCAGTTCAAAGGTGGAAGTAACTTTTAAAAATATATTAAATAAATCTAATCTTTTCCTTTGTAACCTCATACACATTCAACTTCCAGACTGGGAGTAAACACAGCTACTGAGGGGAGAGTATCCGTAAGAGGAATCTCTGAGATAGAGGAGAATGGCAAAGAGTAACAGAGACAGAGAAAATGTTAGAAAAATTCATCACTTCTGGGTAGGTTGTATCTGCCAGGCTTAAACAAAAAGATTGCATTTGAGCAACCATACTGAGACAAGAAGAAGGAAGATGAAAGAGAAGCCTATATAACCAAAACAAGTGTTGGAACAGAATCTGACCATACATATTGCTTGCTTTGCAGTTTTGTAATGACTCATTAATAATATGTATTCCATTCATCCTGTTTTCTTACAAACATGTCTTTTGCTTTTGCCCTCAGGATGCTGTGTAGGTGGATTTTAGTAAATCCGTGTTAAAGCCCCATCAGTCCAACGGCTGAGGCTGCGCTAGCGCAGAGGAGAGCCCCAGTCCCCAGTAGGGAGCACTGTGTGCTGCTGGCCCGTGGAAGAGCCCATGTGGAGGGAAGTCATGGAGGAGGCAGGCAGCGAGGCACGGCAGCACTGAGAGCAGTGACTAGTGCTAGAGAGGCAGTGACAATAGCAGCGCCTGGGCAAGCAGAATCGGAGGAGTGGAGCCACTGCATCCGAAAGGTATTTAGCCTCAGTTTACATCGATGGCACACTGATACGGGATTCTTGAGTAACAAGGGATTGGAAATAGGGTAGAGCAGGGTTTAGAAAGATAAGGATTGCAGAAGAATTTGTGGGGCGGCTTCTTGATTGTAGGAGCGGAAGTTTGGGGATGAAGATGAATGAAATAAAAGTAGTTCAGGTGAGAAGTTAACTTGAGAGCAGGACTACAGGACAACTGAGATGGCTTTTTAAGATGTACTTAACAAGAATTGTGACTATGGCACTCTAGGCTTTGAACACACAAGTTTGAGCAGTTTCAGGTATGCACTGATCTTGGATTTTTTTGCATCGTGGACCAAAATTTCAAATTTGGTGCAAAAATGGCCTTTTTGTCTACTGTGCTAAAGAATCAGATGACTAGCCATACTCATAAGGAAATTTTAGGGTACAGATCTCAAACAGATCTGTTTTTCTCTGTTATTGTGTATATTTTGCACTACTGACAGAACTGACTATTATGATGAAGAAAACTAGAAGCTATTGACATGGGTTAGTCACTTACAAGAGTAACTCCTAGCATCCAGGTCCTCTATTATTGTAATAAATAACTGGGTATGTTCTCCACTATAGCAGTTGTCTAATAATAGCAGTATTCTCCTGAAAAAGGCATTTTGGACAGAGGAACTGATACGTTCTTTCTCATTGATTAACAGAATCCATCCTTTAAAAACATAAGGTTGTGTTGTACATAAAGGCACAAAGCAAAGAAAAACATAGTTTTTTAAAAACTTATTTAAAAACATTCTCATACAGTTGGAAAAGCATGTTATTTGCTTCAGAAATGCTGGCAGCATGCTCTAGACCAAGCCAAAAGATAATGAGACCCCTGGAGCTATTACTGAGAAACTTTCAAATGTTAATGGAAAAGTTAATGCTGGTGTACCACAAGAAAAGGTGTGCCATAAGAAAATAGAAAAATGCCTTTTCTGAGTACCTTTTAGTTTATTTATGATCTTATAATGTTGTACAAAATAAGGTGAAAATGAAAGAAATTCCTCTAGTTTTGAGCTACTGATAACTTTCATTTTGCCATGTTGGAATTTTTCCTCAACAAAAAAAAAAAAAGCTGTTTTGTTTTAACAGCAAGAATTTACAAGTTTCATAGAGTTCCTATGTAAGCAAGGAGTAAATAACCAGAGAAAAAGAAGGGGAGGAAGGAAGGGAAGGAGCAAGAGTTTCCTACTTACACAGGGCAGAACAAGATACCTCTGGCTTAAATTGCTGTTTTTCCTGTATTGTTGTAATACAATATTTGCATTTCTACAGTTTATTCAGGTATTTTTATTTTCTGTCTGTCTCTAAGAATACACTTAGCCTCTTCTTGTATTGTTGACATATATTTTTTGTCTTAGAATTATTTGCTGTTTCAGTGTCCTTCATTTTAAGACATTAATTTTATTTTTTACTTAATCCTATGATGTTTAAAGTCTATCCCTCAAATATTTTTCAAGCTAAGTATAGGCACTTTTTTTTATTGAAAAAAAAAAAGTATTTTTTTTTATTCTTTTGTAGAATTAGTGAAATTAGTAAATAATCAAATCACTGGAATTGGGATACAGATTTGGTTAATGTGTATATATTTTGTAAATGTCTTTTCCTTTTGTCTTCCACATTTTTAGCAGACTCTTGGTCTACGTAGTTTGCAACTGACTACAAACTACTACTGATTGCAGTCTGAACTGCTATATAGCCACTATACAGCTCATAATCCTTTTCTTAATTGTTTAAATGTTCTTTCTAGGGTAAACATTTTCCTGATTTGTAAGACCTCCTAATTTCATTATCCTTACGTGTTGTTTTCAATTCTGTTTTGCAGTGATTGTATTTTATTTTTAAGCTGTTTCGTACTTGTATTTTTTAGTGAATAATGCTAGTAGAGTATCTCACCATTAAAGGTGGTTAGAAAATTACTTACCATCTTACTTCCCCCTCTCCCCATTTCTAAAGCCCTTTTTTCATTATGTTATTTGAGGGGAAAATAGAAATGGCGAATGGATAAAGCTATTTTGTTTGTATTAATTTTGTATTAGGTGCTAAAAATTGGGTAATTTGAGAGTTAATCTTTTAACTCAAGTCAAAATAATGCAGTAAAAATATCTCCCAGCCTAAAAGAACAAGAAAAGTGGTTTGTGGTTTTCTTTCTCCTTGCAAGTGCTAAACAGGCTATTTTTTGTGTTTAAAAGTAAGGGAGAGTAATTTCTTTTTTAAATTGCCTCATTTAAAAAAGAAAATACTTTTTTTGGTTTTAACCCACTTTTCTTTCCTGCTAGAATGACTTTTGTCAAAAAAATTCCAAACAATTCCATTCATAACTATTTGCAGAATGAGGACAACATTCCATGGATGTTAGTTGTAGCACAAAAGTAAAATAAACCAGATTTTCCGGTTTTAGAAACTGTAGGGAAGGAGCTTGGTCTTTAATAAGCCACTACTTGTCTATTTTTAATGTCTCTTACCCATGCAAATTAAGAGGAAGGAGAAGATGTTTGTTTATGTCCTGTGAGCCTCCTGCTTATAGCAGTAACATCATAAGTCAGTTGGTCTCAAGTGATTTTTTTTTTGCTTAATAAGTTTTACCATTTCTCTCCCTGGTAAAAAGCTCACTTTTAGATCTAGATGGACTCAGTAACAGCAAAGAAATTTTTGGCTCCTGGTAATCAATGAAAGTAATTTTCCATTGGATCCATTTATTCCTTTTCATTTTAAATGAGGTGGGTTGGCCCTGGCTAACAGCCAAGAACTCACACAGCTGCTCACTCCCTGCCTTCCCCAGGGATATGGGGAAAAATTAGTAGGGATGCAAGTGAAAAAATTGGTGGTGAAATGAAGACAGGAAAATCCCTGTAAATTGGCAAAACCACTTGGGGCATACAAGTTAATTTATTAATAGGTAGCATAAATATTTAATTAGTTGGAGTATTGGGAAACAAAACAAAACAAAAAAAAGGACAAACATTTAATTTTACAGGAAAAACAGTTTTCTTTCCACTCTCCCAGGTTCAGCTTCAGATTCCTCTCTTTCACTTTCCTAGTCTCCATGCCTTCACTCCAGACATGTCCTCCTGTGTTACTGCTGCAGGTTGTGCACAGTCCCTTCAGGGAGGCACTGGGTGGCACACCAGGCTGTAGTCAGTGCTTGGCAGTTTCCTTATGCTACTTGTTGTTGCTCCACAGACCACAGTGCCTTTGGGCACGTTCCTGATCCAGTGTGAGACACTTCCTACTGCTCTGGCCTTTTTGTTCTTTCTTCTTCTTCCTCCTCTCCCACTGCTCCTCACACACAGCCTTCTCTCTCTGTTCCTCCCACCTCCAGTATTTTTGTCCTTTCTTAAATATGTTTCCCTAAGGGCTCACCTGTGATCAGCAGTGGGTCCATTGCAGAGCTGGCCAGAACTGATTATGTTCAGCACAGAGCAGCTCCTGGTCTGTCCTCAGAGGCATCCCCTGGAGTGCCCCTCCACTGTCAAAACAATCCTCCTCTTCTTCTACCTCTCATGTGACAGGACAAACGTTTGCATCACTGTTTCATGATTGGAATGAATGAATTTCCCATGGCGTGATGGGAGTCAGGAGAACACGGAAGATACTTGTACGTGAGTGGTGTAATGACCATAATGTTCACTGTCCATGTGACTTGCTGAACAGTGCCCATGGACAGTGACAGACTTTTTCTTACCATGTATCAGGAACTGAAGTGTTTTTTCTTCTGTGACAAGGACCTCATGAAGGAAGGTAACAGGATCTGGTAATCACCAGGCTGTTTTGGTTGCCTTGTGAGTGTCGCTTGTAGGAAAGTGGGCAGGGAGTAGATGGGCTGAGCTCACAGTCTGTTGTCTGGTCACCTCTGACAAGAGCTTCTTGATATCCTGATGTCCTGCTTGAATAAATTCTGTTCTTTTAGAACTATGTCAAAATAAAGTTTATTTTTCTAATCAGATTTGTGACTGCAACCTAAACACATTGGCTATAGCTGACTTCAATTAGAGAATTACTAATATTCCTGTAAAATAATCATTGCTGTTGGATTGATCACTCTGGTCTCTTTTGTTTTAGAGTAATGAAAGAATAAAATATTTAAGATGGAATATTCATCATATTGCTATACAGTCTGGAAAGGAAGAATACTTAAATGAATCCCTTGGAGGAAAATTTTGCTAGTGATACTTCTGAGGAATTGTCCCCAGTTCTTAGATTTCTAGTAGGAATTACTACTCACAGAAAAAGAAATTGTTACACCAGTAAGGTTGGGAGAGTACATCATACTAATTGAAATCTTCATGTTTGTTTATTACAAAGAGGGATTTTTTTTCCATATTTCATGCTGAGAGCCTACAGACAACCAACAGGGTGGAATTTATTTCATGTAACTATTACTTTCGTATAAATCTAGTCTAAACTAAGTTTTAAGGCTTTCTAGTCTGTGGAAAGAGGTCATGAGCATTCCTTCCAAAATTTCTTTATACCAGTCTTAAGAAAAAACTTAATGTGCCTGTATCTTCCTATTGATTAAAAAGAAAGCTTAGGTAATTAGCTCAGACTAAATGCCTTACTTGAAGATTAATAAATTCACATGGATTTTCACTCATGGTTTGTACCATGAGTGTCTACTTGCTGTGGGCCATATAGGTACCTAAATTCTACATGGGTAAAATCACTATTGGTTGAATTTAGCTTTGTCTTAATTTTTCTATCTGGTACAATCAGCAACATTGAGAGTCCTTAAGTGTTACCATAATGACAGTATAAATAACAATAGAACTCGTATAAAAATAATAACTCCTTGAGAACACACTAATTCAAATGCCTTTTTTCTTTAAATGAAGTATTATTTTGGAAATGACAGCATATTGGGTAATTTTCTTGCTGTGCTACTTGTTAACCTTATGTAGCAAAGAAAATTAACTTGCCATTTCCCTGCAATTTTCTCTGGTAAATCCCTCTGTCTAGTAAAGTGATTG